TTTTTAAATAAGTACTTTAAAGTATATTAAGGCAATATTATATTGAAATTGTTCATGCATAGATAATTGAAGGTTGAATTTGCGTATTTAATTAAATAGGTAATTCTTCTCCCAAAGGTTGAGTCCCCAACCCCAAGGGCCCCCCACACTCCAACCCGACAGAGCATTGTGGGAAGTTGTAAATCACGGTGACTCAATGGTTCAGCAGACATGACCAAATGCCGGTGCGAACAAGAAATCTACTCACTTTGAACATAATTCCTGCCCTGCCGCCGCTGAGGTTCAAACCTTGGTTTCTTCTCCCAAATACTGCCCACTAAACCATTGAGCTAAGCCCGTGCGGGTTAATAGGTAATTCTAAGTTTACAAATGCAAGATAATATAATCAAGATTGATTATAATTGTCAATAAAATAATTGTATAGGTATGGTTGAAACCAAATACGGGACATAAGGGAGAACAAATAAAAATTAGGGCATAAAATATTAAATATATACTAATATTGTTTGAGGAGATTTCGACATTAGGATTTGTGGTTAAGTTCTATTAAGACTTTAATATTAGGATTAGATTAATGGTGTAATTATAATTCTATATTAGACGTTAATATTAGAATTAGACTAACGGTGAATTAACGGTATTTAACGGAAAAGTTAAATAGATAATCATATAATTAAGGATAAATTAGAAAAAACTTTAAAAAAAATTAAAACCTGAACAATTTGAACCATTCATTTGATTTAATAATTTGGGCGGTCATTTTTTCTACCCAATGTTAATAATTAAATAAATTCGTTGGTCAAATCCGCTAATATAATCCGCTAACTGCTGATTGTCAAACAAGTACATTGCAAGGTAGTTCTCACTTCAATTTGTTGTGTGATTTGAATACTTTCTTTGTCACAAAATCTCTCAAGTAGTTAATATGGTTGGCTTTATTAATTATATATTTTTTAATTTTTTTCATGGTATTAATAAAATACTTAGGTAAATAAATATATAGCATTATTTTGTATTATAACTTTGATATTTAATTAGAAAAATAGTGCACAAAAAAGATAATAGACAATGTAGTGAATATAATCAATTGATGAATTTGAATGTAAAAATTTTTACATTTGAGAAAAATAAAGACAATATAACTAATGAAAATATTTCTCTTAATTAATTTATTGATAATGAATAATTTTTTTCACTAAATTAAGACATTGTAAGGACAATGTAGCGAATATAATCAATTAATAAATTTGAATATAAAGAATTTTTATATTGTAGAAAAATAAAGACAATATAACTAACACAATTATTTCTCTTATTTAATTTATTGATAATGAATAATTTTTTTTTTGAATAAAGGCATTATGGACACATAATTCTAAATTAAAGAAATGCATATCTATAATTTTTTGTTGTAGCTACTAAATAATTATTTATATAATTTAATAAGAGTAAAATAGAGTACTAATTATGCCAACTTTGATTGGGATGAGGTTCGAACCTAAAACCTTTTTTTTTTTTTTTTATTGAAATCAATGAGTAAGTTAACGGGGAACTAACGGCAATTCTTAAAATTTTAACGGAATTAGTAACGGTGTGTGGGTATTTTAGGAAATTTTAGTGTAAAATTTATATCTTATCAATCTTTTAATCAATCTGAGCCATTCATTTGATTAAAATCTGTGACCGCCATTTTTTCTACCCATTATATGCCTAACTCTCTTGGGCTCTTATTAGTATAGTAGATATAATACCATAAATAATGTTCGCTGCGGGCCCATGGAGGTACGGTTTGTATGTGGTATGGGGGTATATACTGCACACCCAAATACACGCAGATGGGAAATGTTAAGTTCTATACCACGTAGTAGTTGCAAGGGGGGATAATCATGATATGTAGTGGGTCATATTTGTATTAAAGCTGCAGCATGTAACACTGCATGTCCCCAACATGAAATCGGTAAACCGGATTTTTGCAAAAATGATCTAGCAATCAGTTTAATACACTTAACCAGAGATTCAGCTAGGCCATTTTTAGTATGGACATAAGGTACAGGATGCTCCACTTTGATGCCCAAGGCCATACAATAATCATTGAAAGCCGTTGACGTGAATTCTCCAGCATTATCCATTCATATTGATTTAATGGGATAATCTGGGAATTGGGCATTCAACTCAATAATTTTCGCAACAAGTTTAGTGAAAGCTTTGTTCCTCGTGGATAGTAGACTAACATGAGTCTAGTGAGTGGAAGCATCAATGAGGACCATAAAATATCTAAATGGTCCAAAGGGTGGACTAATTAGTCCACAAATGTCGCCCTGCAATCTTTGCAAAAAAAGTAGGCGATTCATGTCCAACTTTAGTACGCGACAGGTGTACAATATATTTACTTTTCGCACAAGCAACATATGTAAACATATTTGGTGAAAGTACTTGAGAGCTCGACAGGCTATGCAGAATTAGATATGATCCGACCCATCATATTCTGCCAAGAATGACCCAGACAATCATGCCACATTTGAAAAGAATGTGAATTTTTGAGTTTCATGGTTAGTGCAACAAATGAATCATTGGGTTGTTGGCGAGCTGTCGTAGGCTCCCAAATTAAAACTTTACAAACATAGTAGCGGGAGTAAGGGTCGATCCCACGAGGAGAAACTAGTTTAATGTATGTGCTCAAATTAAAGGAAAGGGGGGTTTGGTATGAAAGTGATAATCAAAGTAAATAAACGAATAAAGCAATGAAAGCAATATATTGAAAACACTTATAATAGAAAACCTTGGTTAGTAAAGATCCACCACCGAAATTTAACACTGATCATTGATTCAAAAAGTAATTAATATGCAGTTGAATATTTGTCGTGAAATTATTTCATTTCAGTTTTCCCTTAGTTGTAGGTAACTAAAGCACACGCGGTTTAATTACCCCTAACTACTAAATAATCTAAGACAAGCGCTATAGATTTAATTTAATAGCAGCAATAGGAACTAGGAAAACCGACAAACTAAATAACACAAGCACAAGCGGCTGCATTTAATTTAGGAAAATATTCTACCCGAGTCCAATTATCACTAAGCCGTTAATAATTAACCCAGTTGCTACTGAATATTAGAATAATTTGTAGCACAACATTATCTAATATAGCAAATAATTATATCAAGTAAATAACTAGTAGGCCTTCCTAGCAATTAAATGATACAACTATTCAAATAACTTAGAAGAATATTTAATACCCAAATGCATAAAAATTATATAATAAAAATAAATAAATAATCTTACAGCATAATCAATTCCGGGGCTTCAATTCACTAAACCAAGCTAAAGAAATTAACAACGAATGGACATTGATAACAACTTTAAAAAATAATCAAGAGGAGAAGAATGAATAAAGAATGAACATTTTACAAATGGAAACTTCTACTATTTATAGCATTCTAAAAATAGGCTCAATGAATTTCCACCACCCAATTCCTAATTTTCCTCCGCCCGTCCGAAAGTTTCCATTGACTACGCTATTATGTCGCTGCCTGTACAAGAGAAAAGGGAAACAATCAACATTAAGATTTATTTATGCATGTTAATCATCATAATCAAGAATTGGACCATATATATTAATAATATATATATATGCCTGTACAAGAGAAAAGGGAAACAATCAACATTAAGATTTATTTATGCATGCTAATCATCATAATCAAGAATTGGACCATATATATTAATAATATATATATATATATATATATATATATATATATATATATATATATATGTATGTATGTATGTATATAGATATATATAAATTACGTAATGTGTATTCTATATATATTATTTATTATATATATTATATATTATATATTATATATTATATATTATATATTATATATAAAAAGAACTAATTATAAGATAATATTAAATAACTAATGCAAAATTATTATAAAGATGTACCTAAAATATGAGTGTAAAATATGCATATCAGTTGTATATAGGTATAATATAACCCAGAAGATAAGGAGGCAAGTTCTTCGACCTCTCATTTTTTACCAGTGATCAACTGAGTCATGATTAAGAACTCCTCATTGTTCTTAGTCTTGGTTTCAATATGGAAACCATTCAAACGAATATCCTTGAAACTCAGCAAGATTCATTTAGATTGAGGGTATAACAAAGCATTTTCAATCAGTAGCTTTGTACCCTTAGGGAGGATGATAGATGCTCTTCCGGAGCCCACTATTTGTACCTGATCATTAGAAATTGTAGTAATATTACTACTTGATTTGTTCAAGGTACGGAAAAATCCCATATCCGTAAGGATAGTATGCGTGGTTGCACTATCCACCAAACACAATGTTGGTTCATGCTCCATTGTGTGGACAACGATTTTGCAATGTTGTAAGGTCTCCGGGATTATTTCTCGAACAGTGGTTGTTCATTACTAATTAACCATTGCCTTGGCACAAAAAAAATAGCATGTGAAGGTTAAAAAGGGGGTGAACCATTCATCATGATAAAATAGAAAACATAGTCATCAAGTCGTAAAATGATATGAAAAACATAAGTTCTTTATCCAAAAGAAACGATACGGAAAATAGGTTCATAATCCAGGAACACAAACAGATCACTCTTGATCACCAAAATCCTCAAGCTCATATTTTAAAAGGTCATCATCATCATCATTCATCACTGCATTTGCTTTAGGCAAATTAGTCTTAGTGTGATGAGATTCTTTTCCTGACGACTGCTTATCATTTTTCCTTTGCATCATTTTGTACGCTTCAACCAGATGTTTTGGTGTGCGACATGTACGAGACTAGTGTACCGTACACCCATACCGATAACAGGTTTGTGACCTTGATGAACCTTGATCACTCTGTTTCTTATCTTGGACCCGAGAGTCATTGTTGCCTTTGCCTTTACCACTTCGATTGTTTCAACCGTGACCTCTACAACGACCCTTTCCTCAGCCCCTTCTAGAATTTCTCCCATGGGCAATATGATGTGCTTAGGGTGCGGGGGCAGACCCAACAGGTCGTGCATTATGGTTTTTCATCAACAACTGGTTGTGCTTCTCGGCCACAAGAAATGCAGATATTATATCAGAATACTTTTCATAATTCTTTGCCCTGTACTGGTGCTGGAGTACAAGGTTACTCGCATGAAAAGTAGACAGTGTCTTTTCAATCAAGTCTGTCTCTGAAACTTCCTGTTTGCAGAGCTTTAGTTGCGAGACTATTTTATGAAGGGCCGAGTTGTAGTCAATAACTGACTTATAGTCCTGAAATCTCAGGTGAAGCCAGTCAAATTGGGCTTGAGGGAGGACAGTCGATGACTGCTGGTCAAAACGGTCCTTCAGGGACTTCCATAATGCAAAATGGTCCTTTTCAGTCAAGTATTCATTTTTCAGGTCATGGTTCAAGTGGTGACGTAAGAAAATGAGAGCCTATGCCTTCTGGGCGGTAATACACTGTGACTTGGCAACAATGATTTGGCTCAGTTCTTTAGACGCGAGATGAATCTCGATGTCTAGAGCCCAAGTCAAATAGTTGCTACCGTCAAGTGCGAGCTCATTAAATTCCTTTTTGGCGATAGAGGACATGATCTACAAAGCATACATCACATGTTCTCATGTACATTCATACTTCTCCATGTAAATTTAACAAAAACAATACGAAAAGATAACATGTATATTTCACAAAGTATCCATGCACTGCTCAAAATTACTTTTTGAATTGCCAACAAGTCTATCGCCACAAAATGGCTGGAAAATAAAACCATGCATTTACTTTGGCCGATTTACACACCAATTCGAAATGGTAAATGCTATTCCAAAAAAAAATTATTGAACGATTTATATTTTCACAAGCATTTATATACAAGCATTATTTAGCATAAGAAAACAAATATCAAGCATACAAAGGATCAAATACAATCATTATGAACTAAATATGCAGTATGTACATTTTCTCCGCAGAGACAAAGATTTTAGATTTCCTTATTCAAGTTTTAGCATTATTCACCTTCCGTATTGAATTATGCAAACCTTAGTTTCCATAATGATTTAGCACATAAGTTTTGGCATTATTCACCTTCCATATTGGATTAGTGCTCATTAGAACAATGATGCCAACTTAATACCAAATTAGTGCTTAATCATTAAGCATTACCAAAAAAAAAAAAAAAAAAAAAAAACTAATAAAAAAATAGGCATACCAAAAATAAGTTTACGCATAATGTTTCGTATGTACATTTCCAGGAAACAAAATCGAGATTCCATATTTAAGAATTTATAGGCACATATACGAATCATATTAACATATCAATATCATGCTTATCTAGACGATATAATATAATGTACTATAACACAATCGAGCATACCATTCACCGGGGAGTATGTTGGCGATTCGTGCTGATAAAGTGTTCTATTTCGGCCTATCAACTCGTTGGTTCTCGCGTGATGCTTGCACGGTTATACACCTGGAATTGCGTATATGTATGTTTGTGTACGTGAAGAGAGAAATGGAAAAGAAGAAGGAGAACAAATGTTGGGCACCACAAAAAGTGTGTTTGTATCATTTAGCTTTTACCCATTTATATAATGGTTCATACAACTCTTCAACTACATAACATAAATAATGTAATCAATGGAAAGTAAATGAAAAGTCTTCACATTTTAATGGCCATAAGTATAATAATTATAACATATACTTGATTAATAATTATTATGTTAATTAAGCTAATAATTACAAGGGTATTAGTATAATTAGAAATAACACATGGGTCGTTGGATTTGTTTATACAATAATTACAATTAATCCATTCATATATAGAGGAGGAAGAAAAAAAAAAGTAAAGGCGATATGGTGAAAAGGAATATACTTAAGGTATAAAAGTATAATTGCACAAATATTAGTAAATTGACTAATAATTATTATGGTAATTAAGCTAAACATGAATCGTTGGATTTATTTTTATAATAATTACAATTAAATTATTTATCCTTTTTTTTCCTATTTATTTTAGTAATAATATAATTACATAAATCATATTACATATCGATTTTTAAAGATAGTTGTAGACAAACGAGTCATATATTATTCAATTGATTGAGTTATACTTTTCCACTAATCTTATAATCAAATAAATGTACATTTTCAAATATTAGAATTGTTTATAATTTCATATTTTATTATCTAAATATATAATAAAAATTTTATCTGTGCATTGCATGGGTAATTGGGCAATTATTTGCTTGAATTCAAGCAAAGATAACATCAAAAAACATAATCGATCCAACCCATTTCATCAATTCACTGCTGAAAATTATGGAATTTCTGACCATCTGAAAATGGTCTTAAATCAAGTCGAAAGTCTTGCTCCGACCACTTTTGGTATCCAGAAAAACATTTGTTGCTATTTCCGACCACTTTTTGCTTTCGACTTGATATAAGATCACTTTCAGGTGGTTATTTGTTATTATAATTTATATAATTGTATATTGATTCAAATATTCTTAAATATTATAACAAATCAATTTCGTGCAACACAAGGGTGAAAATACTATAATTTTAATAATATTTGAATCGATATACAATTATATAAATTATAACAACAAATATTATATTTCACAATCTATTTAATAGAGTAAATACCACCTATGGTCCCTCGAGTTTGGTGGCATCGCCATCAATGGTCCTTAACTTCCGTAATTACCATCCGTCATCCCCCGAGTTGTGAAAAGTTACCTTCTAGCGTCCTTCCGTTACTTCCTCCCGTCTTAGCCGTCAAAATTGAGGGTAATATTGTCATTTGACTTATACGAAAAGAGTTAATACCAGCCAAGGTCCCTCGAGTTTGGTGGTTTGGCCATCTTTAGTCCCAAACTTGGCCAAAAAATTAAAGAAAGTTGGTGCTTTCTCAACTTCCAACTCGAACTCCCTCTTCTCCTATACAATATTAAAGAAAATTTACAAATGTATAGGGGTCGTTTACTTCATTTATCTGTTTTTCCATTTTCAGTTTTCCATTTCTCCATTTCTCCAGTTTTCTTTCTCCATTTTTCTAGTTTTCCTTCTCCATTTTTTCAATTTTCCATGTTTCCATTCCTCCATATTTTTATTTCTCTAATTTTCTGATTTTATTAAATACACGCATCCTATATAGCATTTGCACATTTCTACAACAACAACAACAACAATAATAATAATTTAATAATAATAATAATAACAATAAATAATAGTAATAATAATAAGAATTTAATAATAATAATAATAATAATAATAATAATAATAATAATAATAATAATAATAATAATAACAATAACAATAACAATAAAAATATGAATATAATAATAATAATAATAATAATAATAATAATAATAATAATAATAATAATAATAATAATAATAATAATAGCATTTGTACATTTCTACAACAACAAAAACAACACCAACAACAACACCAATAACAATAATAATAACAATAATTTAAAAAAATAATAATAACAATAAACAATAATAATAATAATAATAATAATAATAATAATAATAATAATAATAATAATAATAATAATAATAATAATCCTTTATATAATAAAGTTATATGATTTGGGAAATAATTAATGCTACAATTAATGCCACAACATCGTTTATTATTATTAAAAAAAAAGGCACAACATTTAAAAAATAAAATAGCTATATATTATATAATCATATAAAAAATATACTTTTGAAAAATAAAATACTTATATATTATATAATCATATAAAAAAATGTGTTCAATTAGAGTTTAAATTTACACATACAAAATTTGAAATTTGCTTTCCAAATGTAATTATCTTAGTTATTATTCGTATTGTGAAAAAAAAAAAAAAGCACAACATTTAAAAAATAAAATAGCTATATATTATATAATAATCATATAAAAAATGTGTTCAATTAGAGTTTAAATTTACACATACAAAATTTGAAATTTTCTTTCCAAATGTAATTATCTTAATTATTATTCTATTGTGAAAATTATAATATAGATGAAATACAATTAAAGAATAAATCAATGTAATTATGTAAATTCTCTCTATAAGTTTATTTGAATATGCACATAATTAGAGATTATATTAACCATACAAAATTTTAATTTTAATTGTAATTTTGTATTCTATAAAAATAATAAATACTTGACCAATGGAAGCTCAAAAATATTATTATATTAAATAATTTAAAATAATTTAGTTTTTCTATTTTTTATTTATATTTATAATAACATAATTTTTCCCGTGCATCGCGCGGGTGAATTACTAGTAATAATTTAATAATAACAATAACAATAATAATAATATGAATATAATAATAATAATAACAATAATAATAATAATAATAATAATAATAATTTAGTGCTAATAATATAATAATAACAATAACAATAATAATAAGAATTTAATAATAACAATAATAACTTTAAATAATAGTAATAATAATAAGAATTTAATAATAACTATAAATAATAGTAATAATAATACATTTGAAGAAGAGAATATGGAAGAAGGAAAATAATGGAATATGATGCAGCGAAACTTGGGACTAAAGATGGCCAAACCACCAAACTCGAGGGACCTTGACTGGTATTAACTCTTTTTGTATAAGTCAAATGACAATATTACCCTCCATTTTGACGGCTAAGACGGGAAGAAGTAACGGAAGGACGCTAGAAGGTAACTTTTGACAACTCGGAGGATGACGGATGGTAATTACAGAAGTTAGGGACCATTGATAGCGATGCCACCAAACTCGAGGGACTATAGGTGGTATTTACTCCTATTTAATATTACAAATACAACAATATTAAAATTCTTATTCCTATACTCAATATTGAATCAATGATATTTTACTTTACTTCAATCTATTTATTCGATTTTGTTGTTTACTTTTCATTATTTATAAATAAACTAATTTGTTTTGTTTTTTTGTTTCTTTTTTTTTTTTTTTTTTCCTTTTAAGAGTTGATGTTATCGGATTCAGATAAAATCAATTTGCTTTGGTAGAGTTGGAGAAGTTGCTATCTTTGTGGGGGAAGAGCCTGAAGGACTTTTCAGTAATACCAATTTCAGACGAAACTAGCATAGGTTTGAGTGAAAACATGTTGACAGCTGAAGAGTTGGCGTATGACAAGGAATCGTCGAAGACAAAGCATTAACATTGGTAACACAGTTGACCTACGACTCTGTGATGAATGATATTGATTCCAATGGAGGTGGATTGTTCTTTGTGTATGGTTACGGAAGAACAGGCAAGACGTTCGTGTGGAGAGCATTATCGTCAAAGGTAAGGAGCTACGACGATATTGTTTTGAATGTTGCTTCCCGTGGAATAACATCTTTGCTCTTGCCGGGAAGCAGGACGACGCATTCCAGATTTGCTATATTTCTTTCCTTGAACGAAAATTCCATCCCACGTGCAATATATCGCAAGGTGGTGACCTTGTTGAGCTTATAATAATAAGCAAATTGATAATATGGGATGAAGCACTGATGATGCACAAACACTATTTTGAGGCTTTGGACAAAACTACGAGGGATCTATTAAGGATCGTCATACCGGGTAGTGTTGAAAAGACTATTGGTGGAAAGGCAATAGTTTTGGGCGGCGATTTTAAACAGATCCTACCTGTTATTCCGAAAGCAACAAGACCCGTAGTTGTCGGAGCAAATATTAATTCTTCATACATGTGGACAAATTGTAAGCTGGTATTAAGGCTCACCAAGAACTTGAGACTACGGACCTTAGCTTTAGAGGAAGATATACAAACGGTTGATTAGTTTTCAAAATGGATTGCATACATCGGAGATGGGATTGCAAGGGTTGTAAACAGCGGTTCATTTGAGATCGATACTCCGGCACAATTTTTGTTGAAGTGTGGACACAATCCCATAGCAACTATAGTGGAAAGCACATTCCCAAGCTCGAGATATTGCATGCTTGATGAGTCACAACTAGAAGGCTGAGCAATCCTCTCGCCGAGTTTAGATGTCGTTGATCAAATTAATCTATTCATGTGTGACATGAATACTGCAGAAGGACGAATATATTTAAGTTGTGACTCTTTGTGTAAGGCAGAATCAGACAATGAAAATCTATCAGAAGTACACACTCCTGAATTCTTAAATAGTTTGAGATTGTCGGGTCGTCATAATCATTCATTGACATTAAAGGTCGGTGCACCTGTTATGTTATTGTGGAACATAGACCACTCTCTTGGTCTTTGTAACGGGACGCAACTCATCATCACAAGATTGGTAGATCACATTGTCGAAGCAAGAATAGTTAATGGGACACGTGAAGGAACATAAGTTCTTATCCTCCGAATATCTCTCACTCCTTTTGATACGAGATTGCCCTTCAAGTTCCAGCATAAACAATTACCGTTGATGCTTGCATATGCCATGACTATCAACAAAAACCAAGGTTAAACACTAACTCACGTTGGGTTATTGCTAAAAAAAATCGATCTTTAATCATGGATAATTATACATGGCTTTCTCCCGAGTCATCCATCCTGATGGCCTGATGGTGTTAGCTCTAGACAAGGATGGACAAGATTGTGTTGCGACTACCAATGTCGTCTATTAAAGAGGTTTTCAAAAATGTGTAAATACAATCGATGATATTATGTTTTCTTTTCTTTTCTTTTTTTCCAAAATGACAAAATTGTTATACATCTAGACAAAAATATATCCTTTATACAAATGAATTAGGATAGTAATTGATTACTATAACTAAGTTGCTAGAGAACGAGCACATTTTCCCAATTTATAAAAATCCTAAACAATGATATATAAAAATCTCTAAAGTTACAGCATCGCATGCGTACATCTACACATTAACTATTAATTTGAGCAATTACTTGCTGAATTCAAGCAATGATAACATCAACAAACATAAACGATCCAAATTATATCTTCAATTGCACTATATAATACGGAGTATTTGATGTTATAATTTAAATAATTGTATATCAATCCAAATATTCTTAATATATTATAACAAATTCATTCTGTGTATCGCATGGGTGAAAATACTAGTTATATTATAGAATATAATACCATATATAATATTAATTATTATGTTATTACGTAACTAATATATATTTAATATCAGTATTTATTAATAATATAGATTAATTAATTATAAACTTATTAAATATAATTCCAGAACTTTTATCTTGAAAGTATACGGAAATATATACGAAAAAATTATAAATTGGTTATATTATGAAGTGCGTAAATTAGTTCGTGATAATGGATAATAAATATTCTAATATATTAGAGAATATATTCATACCGTATATGCCAAAGACCTTGTGGTTAAGCGGCATGAAGTGACTCTCCCAAATGGGAGGTCATGGGTTTGAGCCTTAGTGGAGGCAATCTTGACTCGTTGGGCTTCAGTAGGGTCGAGAAAGTATATATGAACAGATATTACATGTAACAGGGTCAATAGTACTCAAAAAAAATATTCATACCGTATATGAATTACTAATATCTGACCAACTTACAATGAATATTACTTTTTTTTTTGAAAGCTACTGGCTCTATTACATTGTAGTAGTGCTGTCAATACGGGCCGGCGGGGCGGGGCGGGCCAAAGCCCGGCGGGCCGCGGGCCTTAACGGGGCGGGCTAAAAAGCCCGCTCCTAAACGGGGCGGGCTAAAAAGCCCGCTCCTAAACGGGCCTGGGTTTGACAGGTCCGGACCGCCCCGCCAGTGGCCCGCGGGCTAGGCGGGCCCCCGCCCAAACCCTTTTTTTAAAAAAAAATTGTTCATCAAACATCTAACTAATTAAAATAAATTGATATATAAATCATAACTCACATTAAATATTACATAAATTTCAAAGTTCATAGTTTATCAAACATCAAACTAGTCACAACTACAAAGTCCAAAAATATTACACATAACAATAATTTTAAAGTGCATATTTTATATAAAAATATTTTATATAAAATAAAATAAAATAATGGCGGGCAACCCGTGGGCCCGGCGGGGCGGGCCTGGCGGGCCGCGGGCCTAAGCGGGGCGGGCCAAAAAAGCCCGCTCCTAAACGGTCCTCTATTTTCAAAACCCGCCCCCTACCTAAGTAGGAGCGGGGCGGGCCGGCCCGGCGGGCTAAGCTCGTTTTGACGGCTCTACGTTGTAGTATCTGTTCATATAATGAATATTACTTAGTATTATCAATTACCATATACGCTAATATTATGTTACATTGAGAAAATATTCTTACCAGGAATATCAATTAGTGTAAACTAAATTTATTATATATTAAATTTATTTGTTCTTTGTGTTTCAGTAGGTTGAGAAAGTATATGAACAAATACTACAATGTAATAGAACCAGTAGCTTTCAAAAATATTTCGTCAATATTGAATTCCATTTCTTTTTTTTTTTTTTTTGTTTATAATTATTTGTTAAAATTTTTAACATTCATTTTTCTTAGAAAATCATTGACTACCATTCATTTTTTGTTCCATGTATACAGACTTAAAAATGGGAGACCAGATTTAAACTTAAAAAGGGGTGCAATTTATTACGTACCGTAATATAAATTATACTAACGCAATTCGAATAGAATTTGAATTTCAAATTATTACATATTACGGAGTATTAAAATATAAAAATGATATTTTGACTTCAATCATTTCCTTTTCCATTATTAGTATAATAGAGTCATGGCTACAAAAAAAAAAAATAATAATAATAACTAATTGACTACTGTTAATAATAAATTTAAAATTGAATGTTGTTAAAATTTAAACAAAGTAGACAAATTTCAGAGTTGAAATATATATGAGGTGAAACATAAATCGTATTATTGTATAGGGACAAATGCATGTTAATACCAACCATGGATAATATAAAAAATGTTTGATGCTAATAGAAATAAATGTATCGAATTTTAAATGATGTTCAATCTTTTAATAACTATTACAACCTAGAATCTCAACCTTCACACTTAACATATCTCTCATTATTTGAATCACATTCCTTGTTAGGCTCCAAATTTTCAATAGGACTTTCAGTACCTGTCCATCCAGAAAGTCGTGAAAGGTAGAAAAAAGTAAAATACCTCAATAAAATTATACAAAACGGAAAATAATGTAAGTGTCAAACAAATAACCTCTTCAAAGAAATCATAATCTTCTTTGTCATAAATATGTGTAGGGAAAACTGCATCCTTCAATACTCCCACAATTGTTCTAGAATAAAACTGTATCATCTACTTGTGAGTGGTTGTTTTGTTTCTATACAAATTATAAATCACCAAAAAATTATTAATTCGATAAACTCCCCCTTCTTTAAATTTTTTCATCCACTTTTGAACAAACATTTTAGGAATATGAATATGAATATGTTGAAAAGTTCCCTGAAATTGTAGGGTAAAAAAAATGTTGTAAAAAAACCAAATGCATAAACTAAACTTTTTGAAATACAAAATATTAAGACAATAGTACAAAAACAATAATACCTCTACATCATGGACTACACACTCTATAGAGTTGATTGTTTCAGAATCTCTTGTCTGTGGAAGACGATAGACACTCAGCACTCTAAACTTGATTTGATTCCATCTGTGTCTAGGATGAAGTACACGATCAACAATCTCGAATTGAGTTGAAGCCATTGCTATTCGATGTGAATAGGATAGTACATAGGCAGAAATACTTTGGAAGCTTACAACTTTAAGTTTAGCAGAATGATCTGTTTAAATAGCAGAATGATATGTTATTACGTTACTATACGTGAATATGAAAATAATATTATCAATTATATTATAGAATACCATACATAATATTACCAATTATGCTATTATGTCATTACCTAATTAATGTCTTTTATTAATTATTTGACCAATAAAATATTTAATAAATTGAGTAAAAAAGTTTAGACGAATGTTATTATGTTACTATACGTGAATATGGAAACAATATTACCAATTATATTATAGAATACCATACATAATATTACCAATTATGCTATTATGTTATTGCCTAATTAATGTCTTTTATTAATTATTTGACCAATAAAATATTTAATAAATTGACTATAAAAGTTTGAGCGGAAAAATGAAATAGGAGGATTTTGCTTTTATATATATATATATATATATATATATATATATATATATATATATATATATATATATATATATATATATATATAATGAAAGGTTTCAGTGCAGTTGAGTGCTTCCCGTGCGGTTGTGCGGTTGATTAATGTGCGTGAGTTTTGTACTTAAGGTATGTAAGTATTGTGCCTAAGGTGTGTGAGTTTTGTGCTTAATGTACGTGAGTGTGTACTTAATGTGAGTTGTGGTGTGAGTTGTTAAAAATTTAAAGTGCATGAGTTTTATGCTTAATGTGCGTGAGTTTTGTGCTTAATGTGTGTGAGTCGTGTGCTTAAGGTGCATGAGTTTTGTACTTAATGTGCGTGAGTGTAACACCCCCGATTTTCATGCCATTTTAAAATTTAAATACGTAAGGTAAGGTAACTAACATATATCATAAAACGTAAGCACAGCGGAAGTCTAATATAAAAACAGGGAAAACCAATGAGTGTTATGCCACATTCACCTCAACGTGAATGCACAGGCAAGTCTAAAACCATCAAACTATTTTGTTCAACAACTGTGGCACACAGGCCAAAACACTAACTACATTGTTCAAGGGAGTTAAACTACCAACGGCTAACGCTCTCGCCATAACTATTTAGGACCTGAAAAGCACATAAAGAAAGGGGACGACGCTCGGTCAGCGAATATTGCTGGTAACCCATCAATACGCGTTAAGTAGCATATATAGATAGTATAATACAAAATCATTTTCGAAACGGAATACAGTATATATCAGTTCAAAGCCATAGAGAGAAGTCAACTGCAAATACTCTATTTCACTCCCAAAAAAGACAAAGGGAATCAATATCCCAAGACAACATCAAGACAAGAACAACAACAGTACAACTCAACACAGATCAAGATGTAATCTACTGATCACAAAGTAGAAGACATCAAGACAAGGACAACAACAATACAAGTACAACTCGAGGTGTATTCTACTGATCACAAAGTAGAATACCACTCGACATGCTCATCAGAAAAGGATAGACATACACACATTGGCACTACATGTCACCGTGACACTTCATGTCACAAGTTCCAACCTTATGCCCTGTTCCAACCTTATGGCTATCCCCGGCCTTATTACAGTTCCAACCATTACCTCTTAGAACCCCTGTACTTCTGAGTCCAACCTTATGCCTCCGGGAATCGTCGTCCCCACCAACAACCACCAACATTTCCACCAATACATAGTACACGAGGGTACCGTTCATTTTAATCACACAACCACCTACAAGTGAGCCTGAAGCCCATATTACAACTCCAATATCATTTCATAGCCACCACGAGGACCACATCTGTACCTTGGTGATTAATGTCCCATACCATTAACCGTGCAATCAAGGTACAGTCAATACACACACTTTCATCACAGGAATCAATCAATGGATCACAACAAAGATATGAAACCATACTCAACAAGTAAGGATTACAATCTGACATCAATGGTGATCAACACAAGTTGTCATCCACAATAGGAGAGAACAAACCACACACGCTAGAATTTCAACATCAAACTAGCATGCTTATCAAACGGGTAAACCAAACATAGTTCCGTAGAACATACAAGACTCATCATGGTTCAACGAATCACAAGGTTGAACACTTAGCACGATTCAAGACACCAAATCCTACATAGATTCCTAACATATCGTTCTAGACATACGAAACATCAAGAAAACACTCAAATAGCCCAACAAAACAACATCGGGAAGTCAAAACATCAATTACCGAGTCAAAAGAATCACGGGGAACAAATCCCCAAACAACCCAAAATGTGTTCCCCGCGGGTCGGGCCACGGGTGGACAACCACCCGTGGTTCTGCCCGCGGGTACGAGACCATGTCTCACCTGTACCCTGTGGGTGGGGCGGCGGGTAGGCCACTGCCCGCCGTTCCGCCCGCGGGTACCAACCTTGTGCCAAAATAATCCCTTCGGGGATTTTCAACATCAAGTCCAAACTCAAGTCCAAAACACCCAAAATCTCACAAAATACAACAATATGACTTGAATCAAAGAAATAGCCAAGCAATGGCTTACAAGAACCCTATTAACAAGCTCTAGATATGCATTCTCACAAGACAATGCATCAAATCTCACATTTCATAGCAAAATCACAAGTAGAAGTCAAGAAATCGTCATATAGGTAAGAAAATAGATTTTGTAAAGCATGAGTTACTTCTTGTAGCCTAAACCTTCACTTATCACACCCTTACAAGCTTCTCTTAAGGCTCTCCTTCAACTCCAACTTCATAAACACACCAAAAGACAACAAAGATTTCATCTTTAGAAAAAGACACCTAAAAAGATACTAAAAAGACTAAGGGACTAAGGATCTTACCCTCCCTTATGCTCAAGCTTAAGAAAGTATGAATCTTGGAGACCAACTTGAAGAATCTTGGATTGCCCAAACTTGGATTGAAGAAGAAGCTAACAATTTTCTAGAGAGAAGGGTGAGCTTTGTGTTTAGGGTGTTAGGGAAATGAAGTGAATGATGACTCTAGGTTAGCTTGGAACACAAGCATAAGGTGAAAAGTCTTCTTTACCCTTACTAAAGTGGGAAGTGTAAGGATACAAGGGAACAATTCATAAAGCATGGAGTACAACCCATTGACTTGGATTAACTAGTCAATTTCTAGTCCTCTGACTATTGAATTTTCAGGATTTTAGGAATAAATTACCAATTAAACTAGGATTAATTATCTAATTAATCCTTAAATAGAATTTGGATTTACGGGGTGTCACACTGAATGTGTACTTAATGTGAGTTGTTTTTTAAAACTTAAGGTGCGTGTGTTTTTGTGATTAACATGTGTGAGGCTTGTGCTTAACATGCATGAGACTTGTACTTAACATGTGTGAGACTTGTGCTTAATATGCGTGAGATTTGTGTGCTTAATGTGCGTTTGTTGTGTACTTTAAGTGCGTCAGATTAATGGTTAACGTGCGTCCACCCGCACAACCGCACGGGAAGCCTCATATATATATATATATATATATATATATATATATATATATATATATAGAGAGAGAGAGAGAGAGAGATGGGAAAATGACACTTTTTTTCCACTGAATTATATGCTTATAGCATTTTTTTCCCATGTGTTATTCATGCATCTATATTTGCTCCCTCAATCATTTTAAAAGTGGCAGTTTTCCCCCTTTGATGCTAAATGGACTTTTTACCTTTAAAATAATTATTTCATTTAATTTTCTTCTCCAATAAATTATTGTTTATATGTAGGGATGACTAATATATATATATATATATATATATATACTAGTATTTTTTATGCGCGATGCGCAAAAAATAGGTGCCCAATATAAATACATTATATTAAAATTTTAAATTTATTTAAATTTTAGATATTTAAATTATTCTAAATAATAATAATAATAATAATGATAATAATAATAATAATAATAATAATAATAATAATAATGTAAATCATTTTTATAAATTTGATATTTATATTTATGAAATAATTAACATATAACTCAAATATTTAATGATTAATGAAGAAGATAAGAAAATATATGGTGGATGCATGTGTATGGTAACAATAGTGGAAAAGATAACGGAAGTTATAACGGTAGGGGTATGTTTGTCCAAAATATTTTAATGTACAACCTTTATAGCATAATGTACAAAAAAAACTTAACGGAAAAAATAGACATAAATCAGGGGTATAACTTTCATTCACACTTATTATGTTTATATATATATATATATATATATATATATATATATATATATATATATATATATATATATATATATATATATATATATATATAGAGAGAGAGAGAGAGAGAGAGAGAGATGGGAAAATGACACTTTTTTCCCGCTGAATTATATGCTTATAGCATTTTTTTCTCCATGTGTTATTCATGCATCTATATTTGCTCCCTCAATTATTTTAAAAGTGGCGGTTTTCCCCCTTTGATGCTAAATGGACTTTTTATCTTTAAAATAATTATTTCATTTAATTTTCTTCCCCAATAAATTATTGTTTATAGGTAGGGATGACTATGGTTCAATTTGAACCAAACCGGACACTATAGCAATCCAATTGAAATAGTAGAGATGGTTCTTGTTACGATTTAAAACCATAAAAAAAATAATTATTGAATTTAGACTATTTTAAAATATAAAATAAAATTTACAAAAATAAATAAATAAATAATTTTTTAAAACTAGAATCAAAATAAATGCGAACCAGAATCGAACAGATTTATCATTTACAAATAATGTTTACAAATCTGTTTGGTTCCTATTCGTATTAATTCCGATTCCAGTTTCTGTTTGAACTGCCGGTTCAAAATTTATTTATTTATTTAAATTATATTTTCTATTTTTAAAATAGTCTAAATTCGACAATTATTTTATTTTATTTTATTTTTTTACGGTTCTGAATCGTAACAAGAACCATCCCTACTATTTCAGTTCGGTTGTTATAGTGTATAGTTTGGTTCAAATCTAGGGATGGCAACGGGGCGGGGCGGGG